AATGCTATTCTTTTTTCATCATTTAAGCGATTTCAAGTATTATTTTATTTCTTCAAAATTATGATACATACATCTAAAACTTCATTATTGTACTTAGTCGTGTGCTGTAAACTCTATGGTGTACGGGCACGAACGAGGCGAACCGACAGATAGCAGGCAGGAAAACTTAATGTATCACGCCACCTACTTTCCTCTTGCATACCGCTGCGTAAATACATACTAATACTTTGTAGGTCCTTCATGCCATATAAATGACTGTAGACTTGTGTTGTATTATTGTGTAAATTGACATTATGGTTATTAATTGTCTCTAGAAACGATATCATACATTAAAAATATCACAAAACGTACATCACGTTTCGTAATAGTGTGTAAACAATGTTTTTATAATGTCCTAGCACGAATGCGAGTGCATCTAAGCGACAAGTGTTGCACAACTAACGCAACGGTGCGATTAGTTGCAGTGGGTACATGCAGTATTTTTCATGGATGGATGAGTTTATCGTCACTTGCATGTGTATTTTTTCTGCTAAAGACAAGTTGTTTATGTCACGCACCGTATAAACATACGTAACATCCATTCACGGTCAATTGCATCTAATTGTAAGTTTAAAGCAGTTGAGGAGGTTTTAACTTAAGTGTGGTGTATGTAATTGTGTTTTTGAAAATAAGACAATACGGATGCTCATGTAACGACGACATAATACGTTTAGGTAGACGCGCACACATGAAGTTTTCCATAAACAATGTACAGTAAAACAATAATGTTACGTACACAATTACACATCTGAGTACACAACACAGCCGCGTGGGCGAGCGAGCACGTTTTAATTTATTAAAATTGTGATCACTGACTAAATGCTCGAATGGCTTGCAAGGAGCCAAGGACTACAGTGACGAACCAAGTGACACATTGTTAGTGAGAAAAATCCCTAAACAAATCTAACCACAGTTGCCACAGTCATGCCGTATAACGTAACATTATGCGAATAATGCAGTAAATTGTATAATTTTTTATCATTTAGTTTGTTTTACCGACGAACTTTGTTTCAGTCCTACAAAATTATAGTGAATAGGGAGTCTTTAAGTTAAGATTTTCACAAATACTTTGGTTTGTGCATCGACAAAGACTTCCAGTGCAAAGCTGAATACACGATCGTTACCTACAATAACACAGATACCTCACCTGACCTATTTCAAATGCTAATACAACCCACACTGAGATCTGCGACGACAGAATAAAAGAAACAATGAATCTAGCGTTAAGTAGGTATCTAATAATATCTATCGTTCGTAAATTATTTATTGCGCACTTGTGGCTCATACAAATTGGTATTAGTGGTGGGTCGACCACGATGTAACACTAAAGGGAAGGGTCGATTTATCTGCCAATTAAAACCCCACCTGCAATTACTTCGATTCATCCGTGATTATGGCGCATCCAACTGTCGAAATATCGGACAAGCATCAATAAAAAATAATTTTTAATGATATAAATAAAAATAAATACCTTTTTTTTTTCTTTATAAATTCTGTTATAATGAATTCTAAAGTATACAGTAGCTACTTACTATGTCTAAGTGTAAAAACGCTATTTGTCATGCATTTTGCTTAGTGTACGCGTGACCGAAGGATACTAAGTCGACTGAAGGTTAAGCCGAAGCTGTGGTGTTTGCTATTAGATCATCCACTTGGAATTCGCCACACGTCCAAAAGCGGTATTGTCAACTACATACCTACTTGGTTCCAGTTCAGATTGATTTTGAACGCCAACACAATAGGGATAAAAAAACTTGTACGTAAATTATGCTGGCTACGTCAATAACATACTCATTATTATTAATGTTTTTCGCGTTACGGCCATATTATCACGCATGTCCAACAGATTATGTGTTGAATCGTTCTATCTGTTACACGGTCGTCATGGTCTATCATGAATTTATGACAAAAGAGAAGATGTCCTAGATTTGTACATACGCAGCACGCTTGCTATAAACTCAGTCCTATGCCATTAGTAAAGAAGACTGGCAGTTATGTAGAGCAGGGTTAATTAGAGCTGATGCAAGTGGAGGGAGCTTTTTGATAGAACTAGATATGGTTTCAGAAATATGTACATAGTGGCACCACAAAATATTGAAAGATCTAACGGCTATCGTAACAAAATAGCGCTCTAGAATTGCATCAACAAAACATTTGGCGTGTGAATAAACACGGACATAACGAGCGGCTGCCCCTAGTCGTAAAGTATGACGACGTAGACGCCGCAGTAGCGCTGTGGTGTTATTATCAAGATTACTCAAATCGATGATATTTAACCGAAGAAGTTACTCTTTATGGAGCCGTCCAGTTTTAAAGAAAGTTTCCAAATGGTGATGAAAATTCAATAAGCAGATAAGTAGACATAAGAAAGGTAGTAGTGCTCAGGAAAACGCATATACGCACAGTCGCACACCGACTCTGGAAGGAGTTTTCCTTACATGGAATCAAGATCTAAATCTTGTTGCACCCGTTACCCTGTATAATCGGAAAGACTCTATCGACCTTCTAAAGAATATCCTAGGAACAATGTAGAATATTTCCATAAACTAAAGCCTTGTGTCAAATACAACTTCCAACCCTATACTTAAGGCACATGATACAAGTTATGTGATATTGTGATTTTTCGATTTCATATAGCTGTGTTAACTCTGTGATATATGATAACGAATCAAGTTAATCATTTGAGATTTTGAAAGCTCAAGGTATGTTATAGACACCACGAATCTCGCAAAAATTGTCTTCTAATTGTCGATATCGTGCTCTATCGACAAAGTGTCGGCTCTCCACTACACTGCAGTGAAATCTCTAGCACAAAACGAGCAATGAGACCGCAGCAGCCGGCCGGGGGTGCAGGCGCGTGCCGAGTTGAACGACCACGCGTTTGAGCGTTTCACTTTCATCGCATCCCGGCAGACCGCGTCCGTGGCCAGCCGTCCGCACAACACTCGCACTTTGGAAATCGTACTCATGGAACTGCCTGAATACCAGTTAAAAGAGTTAAGTCTCAGCCGCATTGCGAAAAAATCAAGCTTTGTTTGCAATATGGAGATCCTATGCTCTATCATGTCAATTTGGCGCGCAATTTCGTCTGGATGTAAGAATTTCTTGCTGGTAAAATTTACACCGATTACAGAAACCACAATTTTACGTTAATCCCGTATTGGAGCACTCCAATAAGTTTGGAGCGGCCACCATTATTTTGTTGTAGAATCAATTTTAATTAGGCATAAGGAAGCTTTTGTTCGATCTCTGTGTTATTTTACTTCGGATCTTGAGTATAACCTGCAAGTTCTTAAGCATAGCCTGCAAGCATAAGTTATGGCACTTGCAATTCAGAATTTTAGAATAGTAATGGCATGCTTTCATTAGTAGCCTTTTTTAGCCGACTGCGCCAGAAGGAGGGTTATTTGACTACTAGATGATAAATCATATCATAAAAGAGAGCTATATCATGAATCGTATTCGTAACATGTAGACAAAATTTTGTCAGTAAGCAGCTAGTTACGTAAGCGTCAAATGTTTGGTCACTTTCGCTATAATCTTCATTGATTCAAAGCTTTACTATATGTAGTGATTCCGTAACTAACCGCACGAGCGTAGTGGATGCTCTACTCTTGTAAAACCGGTCCCGCTGCGTACACTGTCAGATGACACAACAATCATGCCATTTGCAGTTACGATCCATTAGTTTTTTTAATAATTAGCACCCTAATGAAGTTGATGAACACATTAATTTCATGACTTTGTTGCTGTGCCCAGTATTTTGTAAAGATTAAAGGACAGAAGGATAAAGCAAACGTGCGATGGTCGTTGACTTGTGGCCTTTAAATAAATGTAGGAAGTTGATACACAGTATACCGTCTACAGACATGTCCAAGTTTACCACTGTTTATGTTAACACTGGTGTGTTTACGTTTAATTTTATATCAGTCGTGATAAAAAAGGAAACTTTATGCATCAGAGGTGAATTAATCATGGGTAGCATTTCAGTTCTCACGGAACAAAAAAACTCTACCAACACTCCCACAGGCTAGGTGGCAATGCAGACTGAACAAATTAAAATAATGGAACAGTTAATTAGCATAGTTAAAAATATGCATGATATGTATGCTGCACAAATGCTTGAAGAAACACAACAATGAAAATATTGAATATTACTGAAACCAATGTTGGAGAAAACACTTTAAACGTCCTTAATGCTAATTCTTAAAAATTGCTTCCTTCCAAGCAAAGAAGGTCGTTTCGGAATGCAAAGAATGATATTACAAGATAGAGGATGAGTTTTGAAACAAGCAGAATACATACCAAATTGTTAGACTGTAATATTAATTTACGTTACTTGAAACAGGAAATGTTATTAATATAAAGATCATTATTGCTTGCTGCTGTAAATAAAATATTGTTTATTGTCATGTAATCGGACTTTTTAAAATAACTCTCAAAACCATGTTAACTGAATGGAATTAGATGATTCTTAAGATGCATCCTACTATGTATTAAGCAAAAGTCGAAACCTGTACATAATGGTACCACCTACATTGGCCAAATCAAGGCAGACGTGTAGCGCTAGCGACCTTGTGTCAATGTAGTATGAATGAAGCCATAGTCAGATAATCACTAATTTTATAGAATTGTGAAAATGAGCACAAAACTTAACTCTTAATAACATAAAAATTATGATAGTCATGTTCACACATTTGAGATCAGTTGTTTGGGACCGTTGCCGGTTTCCGCGGTTTTCTAGGTATGACAAGATAAGTGAATCGTCGAACATGCTCATTGAATAATCAATGTATCTCTTTCAATAAAATTACATTACCCACTTTAGTTGCACGCAAAGCTAAGTAGAAATCGCAGATTTCCTCATTAGATTTTCCTTCAATGCCAAGATACAAAGGGCAGACATCGGTTTAGTGGACTTAAAGAAATATTTTTGATGAGGATATACATAAGAAGCATACCTTAGAACATTACTGTACAGTTCAGTAGAAGTAAATACTGGTATACAATATGAAGATATGATAGCATCCATCAGCACTGTAGAAACATCGTCAATCCAGATGGCAAGAATGGTGCAAATAACACAACACAGCAATGTCTTTCACCCACTTGACGATGTTGAATCGTGATCGTGACTCAAAATGTGCAAAGGTTTCTTTGTTTACGTCTGTCGCGTGTCGAAAACAAAATGTTGGCGGATTAAGTGCACTAATTATGTAGGTATGTTAACCACCACAACAAACCGCGTGCGGACAAGGCGCTCACTGAACGCACACTGTCATGCTATGCGGCGGGCTTGCGATCTGCCCACCGGCGAACAAATTTCCCTATTAGTAAAGGCATTACACAAACGACCGTCGACATACATGTCATTTGTGTTAACTGCGTAATCGAAACCTGCGACCGTGAAGATTTGCAAACAGAATCGTAAGAAACTAATACTGATGTTGAACGATGTGATGACACTTGAAGACATGGCATTTGATGACATCAATTTTAGATTTATAACGCTGTGGTTTAGGATGACAAAAAATAGAAAATGTAATTGAAGATATTTTTATAAATTACAAATAGCACTTACTAGCTAGGATAGGTGTACTGAGAGAACAAAGAACTGTATTTAAATTGTTGCAACGTGTAGGTTTACTGAAAACAAAGCTTATTTAAGATTTCCTGGTGCGATCGCTCCAATTCTCAGGTTACAGTAACGCGATTCTTCGACGATCTGCGCACAGGAAACGGCCGAGGAGTTGATACCCTGTGTAACCGAGACGATTACACTTGCTCCACGTGTTCATTCAGCTCTGACGACTGACTGCTATGATTCAATAATCACATACAGAACCTTCTAGTTACGTTAAACTAGACAGATATCTGATTAATGAGTGATTGCAATAAGCATTTATCAGCAAAGCAAGTATGCATCATAGATCTTTCTTTGTTTAAAGAAGCTTAAAGAAGAACTGACAGTCATTAAGAAATGCGTGTTAAACTCAGCCGAATTGGTTCCCTATGTCACTCTGGATTTTGATGATCTGAAGACTGAAAGAGATGCCTGACAAACGAAACTGAAAAAAGTGATTTTGAAACTTCTATAGCTCTGACAAGTCGTATATGTGTGTACGAGCAGACTAGCAGAATATGATTGAATGAGACTATGGGACTGTTCCAACCTCTCGTACCCAGCAATGCAACTTCTGCAACTTCTGTTTAGCAGTATCTACAGCTTGACCGCCACTTAAACCCTAACCAGTTGAATGAGACGACTTGCCGCATTGGCCAACAACGAATGCTTAGCACTTTTTCCAGCATAAGCTGATTCTCGCGCAAAATCTTTATCTTTTTCAAAAGTCAATCGGTGGAATGGATACGTTTTTTAAAGCAGAAACTTCTGCTATCTGTGGCAAACTGCAACACAATTCGAAGTACCTATTCGTGGCAACTGGAGCGTGAGAGGAATCCGGCGTACAGTAGTGTTCGCAGTTCGTACCGCAATGCCCCGTGACCGAGTGTTGGTACGTAGTTGTCATCGGTTTGCCCTCCATTCAGGAAATTAGACCGAGCGAATCGTATTATTGTGATGTATTTCTGTATAGCCAGCTCAAAGTTTGTTGGCATGGAATAAATTTCCAGTCAAACGCCACGACCGATATTTTGATTTCTTCATTGCATAAATGATTGCATATAAAATTGGGCGTATTTTCTGCGGTGTTTACCTACTGGATTATTCATACCTGATACACACGCTTTACTCAATTAAATTTATTACGACTCGAGATTTTAGTGAGGTTGCCGATCCTTGTACGTACGAGAATCGCGCGCGAGGACGTCCTTAACGATGATGAGTCACAAAAACTACCATTGTCTCAAAATGACATCGACCCTACTTCCTTGCCACGAAGATAATCCGCAACTGCTTAATACCTACCTTTTTATAACACATCAAGAACTTTGTGCAAAAAGATTAAGTTTTTTTTTACACAAAGTTGTTAATCTGTTACACAAGAAACGGAAAGCGAGTTAGTTGTCATTAAAATAATATAATAAATTAATCACTATTCTACAAAGGATCAGAAAAAATTACAAATCAGTAAATTAGTCTATTAGGCAACTTTAAAGTTAATTGTACAGTGTTTACGTGTTTTCTGCAATAACAATAATCAAGCGGCAAATAGCCAAGTTTAATTTGATTTCGTTAGGCAGAACATTTTATTTGTCAAGCACAAAAATGGGCGCAATTTCCTTGCTTTATTTATTTATCTAATAGCTACTGCACGCGGCTTTGTCTACTTTGATTTCGTTCAGCCTCAGATAAGACAGTCTAGGTCAGGGGTGGCCAACTTGATTAGACATAAGACTACTGTTTACTAACGAAACCCTGGGCGATCTATCACTTACATACTTCTTGAAATCTTATATGAAACAGCATAGTTTGTAGTACACATTTCATCTCTTAAATTTTTTTTTTTACAATAAATGTCTAACTATTTCCTTCTTCAAGCAAGGCCCAATCTCCCTGGGTTATGTTTGAAAAGGGATAATCGAAAGATGTTGTTAATTTTGCATTTATATTAGAAAAATTTTTTAGTAATATGTAAATGGAAATTGGTCCTAAAAGGTTGTTCTTGTTTAATCATTTAAAATAATTCCTATTAATGCCTATTTAAGTATTTTTCATGTACTGGATAATCAGTACATAGGTACTATTATATTTGATTGCTAATAGTAGCAATCAAATATAATATTGACTAAGCACGACAAATTTTGTAACTACTTCCAGTTGAGTTTGGTTTTATAGACGAAAATTATTAGTAATTGCAACTAGTCTACCTAAAAAAGTACTGAACCTAACTGGACATTTGTAATGATTTAATAAATCAATTTCAATTAACTAATTTTTTTTGTAGTGTCTTTTTTTTACTGTGTCAATAAACCTTTTCTATTCTATTCTAATTAAAAAATAATAAACCACTAAAAAGGTATTTTTAATTTATGTGGTATTATTTTCAAGATGGTTCCTCCTATTAGGTCCCACACTGTTTTAAAGGATTTCCTCTCAGGAAATATTTATAAATCTTTAATTCATAATACTCAAAGACAAGAAAACTACTATGACTTTTATGGCATACATAACAAATCTAACATGAGTTTTCTTGCCTTTAAATGTACTTACTTTATGCCCATGTATGATCAACGAGTAAGGATGAGTCAGAGCAACATCTGTGCTGATGTGTCTACACCTAAAATTAGACTTGAACACACATTTGTGTTTAATTAAGTTATGTATTATTTTGAATTTAAAACAAATGAGCATTAAAATACCTACATAGGTATTACATTACACATTATTGATGTGTGATAAATCAACAACAAGAACAAAATAGCTGTTTTGCTCTAAGTTTTTATTCTATTGAAAGTATCAGGTGCGATTGTGGTCAAATACCTGCCTTGTTATGCATAAAAAAAAAAAAGTATAATATTATTATTATGTTGAACATACAGTTGTCTAAGTTACCTACTAATGATTTTGTATTACTCACAAACTTTTGGTTTTTCTTTTTAATTCAAAGTCAATGTACCCTTCAAGTACCAGCAATCATGAAACAATAAAAATCAATCAATTGTTATCGCATTCTCATGCAACCACTTAGGTTTCCATGAGTTAGAAAACAATGCTCACAGGACAGGTAGCAGCATCTATGTATGTATTTACAAAAATAGCAGAAATAGACTAAATACCTTCAAAATATGTACATCTACATCTCGTTTGTCAATATTTTGTCTCCCTGTTAGTTAAAACCATAACAGATAAACATGAAATCAATGGAAATAGTTCAATTCAGATGGTGGTAGATTTCATATTACTATAAAATTGTTTTTTAAAGGTAACAAAAAAAACAAAGCTAAACATGTTTGTTGGCACTTAAAATAGGACATAGGTAATTATACAAAATCCAATATTAGTCATTCTTTTTTTCCTTTGACTGGGGTGTAATTATTATTATTATGATTTAAGCTATGCTATGTAATAAGATTTGACAAAGCTATGCTATGTAACAGAGGAGCCAAATTATGGAGTCTTGCATTTATGTGATAAAATAGATATGATTATTATAGTTTTATGCCACCTTTTAAATTTATTTCATTTCAATAGTAAATAAAATAACATTAAATAAACGTAAGTACCTACCTACTAAATTATTTTTGGTTAACCTTTCGTATTATTAGGACTTACGATTTGGAGAACTTGATCTTGTTCCTGATGATCAGTCAGGTTATTAATAAATTCTAAATTGTATATAGTTACAGAGTTACATCTTATGAAATTAAGGCTAACAAATAGTTTCAATCATCGAAATACGACTTCAAACGAGGCCGTTTCATCCCACCTACAAGTCCCAGCTTCTTGGAGAGAATATTCACCGTGACAAATCTGTTCTCAAACTAAAAATAATCGTAGTAAAGTAAACTCACCAAACACGATAAGCACAAGATAAGATATTACTTCTTTCAGAAAGTCTTCACTTCATTATCAAATCACAGTAATTATGTAAAAATAATAAATTCATAAACACACAACACATACGTCACTCAATAAAGTCCGCCATTTTATAATTTTCACCTTTTTTTTAGGGGTGGGATTGACAATTTGTGGCACAGAAACAAATGTAGACTTGCCATAGTAATATAATGCTACGGCTATATCTGCGACTAATGAACACAAGCTGATATTTTTTTCTATTGCATTAATGCGAAAAGAAAAAACGTCAATGTCAATGTCACTGTCACATTGAAATTTAAAATTTATTTTCTGTCTGGTGGTTCTTGCAGGAATAGATATTTTTTTCAGGTTTTTCTTCCTGAAATATTTTAGATGGAGTAAAACAAATACATGAAAGAATTAATAATTAACACATTACAACAAAAATATTTGAAGTCTGATGTTAGCAGAATGACTACCGAAGAAAGTAAATTTCATAATCGACTGAATTATCTCCGAAACAGTTTTATCGCCCTCGGAAAAAGAAAATCCCTAAAATATGGGCTTCCTTTCTTGTTATTTATCGTAGGAGGGTCTTTTGGTCTTAGAGAATGGACTCAAATAAGGTTTGAAACGTATTGTATTGAAGCTTATGTTACATTTTTAGTTACAACTTATTCGAGGTTCGCAAGGATAATTGGAAAAAAATGGTTAAATTAAATTGTCGGCCAAATGATTAAATCATGTAATTATTTCCCATGCAACTTCTTGTTCATTTTATGTACCTACTAAATGTTCTGATCTGATAGGTTATGTTCAAGAGCACCTGAGACATAGCTGACAATTTATTTTCCAGATACCAGTTTTCACAAGTTAAAGGTGTTAGTAGAGAAGAAGCAGAAAAAATGGGCCTACACAAAGCACGCGATGTAACTATAGAAAATGTTTATGAGGATATTCAAAAACTAGATATTGACAACTGGGAAAATAAACGAGGCCCTAGACCATGGGAGGATAATCAGCAAACAAATAAAAAATGAAGCAGTCCAGCCAAATAATAATGTTGAATTTCATGTAAATAAAATCAACTATAAAAATCCAACCAAACCTAATATTTTAATATTTGGCACTACTTTCCGTTGTCTTGGTTGTTATCTTTATGTAGAAGTCTACAATTCAATTCCTTTTCATGGCTCCAAAAAGTCAATGTTCCTGTAAGTAGGTACATAAAATTATATTTTGTACAGGAGTAGTTTAGTGATATAGCAATTATTGTTAAAAAAAAACATTAAAAGTTTTAAAAATTAATAATCTGAGTTTTCTTATTCAACATCATGGTTTAAGCTGTGGTTATGGTAACTACATCGACGTCAAATAAATCGCACCTTTTCAAGTCACATTTATGGTATATGTTAATCATTTATTAAGAAATTATATGTGTTTTTCTTTAAGGATATTTATTGGGCTTTCAAATAACACCAATATTGTTGGGGCACCATGCTTGTGTCAGAAGAAAATCGTTAAAGTTCGCGTCGCGGAAGGTGCGGTTTATTTGATGTTGAGTATATTTATTCAACAAAAAAGTAATTGTAAATAAATTACTAAGAAAGGAAGGTATGATTTTTTTAGGATGTAATTTTAATATCAGCTGTTAAATCTTCATAAAAACATGTAAATCGCATCTAACTCCCGGGAAATTGTTGCAAATAAGCTCGTCATCATTGTGTTATTTCGGTATAGACACGTTAGACGACACGTCGCATGTTTTTATACCGCTAATTCACACTCGTGACCACGACTCAAAAGCGTAACTGTGTCGATTGATTATAATATCTTATCACTGAATAAAAAAACCAGCAAGTTAACATAATTATCTACAATGAATTCTTTAGAAAGCTTATTATTGAATAAAGTTTTCCAAGTTTAAGTAGGTAGTTCCCTCCCAGTTGGGACATGTTAACAAAACTTCCTGAGAGTATAAAAATTGTAACTGAAGACGCGCATATTACTGATTAACAACGTTTTAAACTTTCTACGTAAATAAGTAGGTACCTACGCAATAGTCTAAATAAACGCTGTACGTCTTAAGTCTCAACAAAACGTTATCAGTTTGTTTTATGTCTGGTGGTTTCTGGGTGAGTGCCAGATATAGTTCATTCACGCCTTGTCGTACGAAAATCAGTGTTCGTGGAACCGTTACCTACCTACGTACGTAGTTAGGTACCTACGCAAATTAGAATCCTTTGTCCTACCTTTAAAAGAAAGATAATATCCTACTTATACAATAGGTTGATGAACCAAGCATGTGGCTCACTGCTCACAGCCACACAGCTTTATTATTATGATTAGCGCAGTTACAGTTACCTATTATGTACAACCTATTTACTCGTGATAAGATAAACCGAAAATTACGATGTACCTAACTACCTATAAGTTAGTTGGACTATTCGGGAAGGAAGGGATGAGCTCATTTGTAAAAAAATATTACCTATACCTATCGTTTTTCAGACAATGACATTTTTAAGTACACCCTATTTTGATGAAAGTTGGATTTAAACATTTCGGGGGGTAGGAGGTACCTACTAAGGGTGCGCCAAAGTTCACCTAAATTTTCAACTCCGAAAATTGGAAGTCCGAAAATGTTCTTCCTAAAATTTTTCATCCTAACAATCACAATTCCTATAGTCTTTTTCACGTAAGATGATCCGTATGACGTTTCGAGTTTGAAAGATTTAGAGATGTCACATAACTAAACCATAGCGATTTATCTATCGATTTTTTTCGAAGAGTTAGTAAAACCTACTTTTAGAGAAGTATTTTGTATAGGTGTTATTTAACAAAAACATGTTTTTTTTAATTACAAATATTATTGTAACAATTTTTTATTGATAATAATGGTTCGTGTTCAAAAAAACGATTCCTAAAAAGTACTGGTTCTGTTTCTTTAAATTAAAAACTATTAATTTATTTTCAATGCGTTTATTAAAGTCAATAATCGAAAAATGTAGTTGATTTTTGTGATGTTTTTAATAACTAAGTATTCACTGCAATCGATTAATGAACCGCGGAGTTTAATATTATTTGTAATTAAATATTCAGAAATACATTTATAAATATCAAAATCATTTAAACCAAGCAGGCAAGATATCGAAGTGGGGAGAGGGACACGGAGGGCTAGGAGAGATGACATAAAGAAGGAGCGATCGTGAATCTGGCAAGCAAAGAAAATGTGATTCAAATCACCGGACTCCGTTCCACAGTCACACACATCATTTTCGATTATATTAAGCCTTGCCAAATGAGCTGGGGAACATACGTGCCCCAGTCTCATACGGATAATGCTTGAAACAGAAAATTTATCAAGATCTGTTTTGAAAAACCAAGGTTTTGTCGGTATACATGGTTGGATCAGTTTATAAGCTTTACCTTTACTTTGACTACTGATGTTCCACTCCTCATGCCATTTTTCAAGCATATAGACTTTGGGTAATGCAATTAAATCATGCGCATAATTTTTGTAAGGAAAAATGTCACCCACAGTCACAGCATTATTAGCTAAAGAATCAGCTTTTTCATTACCAAAAATTTTACAATGTCCAGGAATCCAAGCAAAATTTACTACAATATCTAACAATGAACAAGTTAGTAACAGTTTTCTACAATCAATAATAATAGGATAAGAAGAATTTGATTTGAACGGGAACTTAACTAANGAATACAAAAAAGGATGAGGATCAGGTTGGAAGGTGAGAAGTTGAGTATACAAGAATAAAATATATAAAGGACAGGATATTAATTAACAGTTCATTAAATACTTTAGAAATTAATTAAAGTTTAATATTATTTAAAATTAAATACTCAGAAATACATTTATAAATATCAAAATCATTTAAACCAAGGAGACAAGGTATAGACGTGGGAAGAGGGACACGGAGGGCTAGGAGAGATGACATAAAGAAGGAATGATCGTGAATTTGGCAAGCAAAGAAAATGTGATTCAAATCACCTGACTCCGCGCCACAGTCACACACATCATTTTCAATTATATTAAGCCTTGCTAAATGAGCTGGAGAACACACGTGCCCCAGTCTCATACGGATAATATTTGAAACAGAAAATTTATCAAGTATAGTTCTAAAAAACCAAGGTTTTGTCGGTATACAGGGTTGAATAAGCTTATACAATTTCCCTTTACTCTGACTACTGATGTCCCACTCCTCATGCCATTTTTCACGCATATAACATTTAGGTAAGGCTAATAAGTCGTGTACGTAATTTTTGTAGGGGAAAATGTCGCCTACAGTCACAGCATTATTAGCTAAAGAATCAGCTTTTTCATTACCAAAAATTTTACAATGTCCGGGGATCCAAGCAAAAGATACTACAGTACCTAATAATGAACAAGTGAGCAATAGTTTTCTACAGTCAATAATAACAGGATAGGAACAATTTGATTTGAATGGGAATTTAACTAAGGCTTGTAATGCACTTTTGGAATCACTGAATATTACAGCTTTTTTGAGTTTCATAAGTAGAATGTATTCCAGAGATTTGAAAATGCCAAAACACTCTCCTGTGAAAACAGATGATTCAGGTGGAAGTTTTATCATCTGGCTTATTTTATATTGGGAGTGGTACACACCTACACCAACATGTCCATTGTTTGAGTGTTTTGAGGCATCACAGTATAAATGATGCCAACCATTCCAATCATTGTCTAAAATCATATTAAATTTAATATTTGCATGAATATCAGACTTACAAATATCAATATCAAATTTAACATTTGGAGAAAGTATTAGAGAATCATAGTTTGCACAAAATACAGGAAGATACATAGATTTGTGAGTAGGGGCTTGTAAAGAAAGAAGTTTTTGAAAGCTAATGACTAGACATGGTGGTGTTTTGTGAGACCAGTATGAAGAATTTTGTACTAGTTCCGACAAAGCTTCTAATTTAGGAAACAAAGGATGGTTTGATAACTGAAAAGCTCGAAATAAGAATCTATCACAAAGGTACTGACGGCGAAGTCTTAAAGGAGGGTCTGTACACTCAACTTGCAGAGCATTATTTGGGCTAGATTTCATTGCCCCGACTACTAATCTAAGCGCTTTTGTCTGAATGACATCAAGCTTTTTAATTCCTACTAAACTACATGGTTCTAAAAACTGTGTGCCATAGTCAAGGGAGCTTCTTATTAAAGCATTATAAACAAGTTTTAAATTAAATGGGTGAGCGCCCCACCAGACTCCAGCTAAACATCTTAATATATTAAGTGTACGCTCGCATTTAGCACTAATATTGTATAAATGAGACATTCCAGTAAGTTTCGAATCTAAAGTTATACCTAGGAACTTGGCTTCATTATTAACTGGAATACTTAGATTATTATACTCAACTAGTACCGGAGGAGGGCAACGCATTCGAGAAAAAAGTACAACCGAGCTTTTTGCAACAGAAAGACTTAAACCGTTTATATCTAGCCATGACTTAAGCATTTGTAATGAATGGTTAAGTGAAGCACAAAGCTTTGCAACGCTTTTATCAGAAAAGTAAAGGAGAAGGTCATCTGCGTATTGCAAAATACTAACATTATTATTAATAGAGCATTCTAAGTCCGATGAGTAAATATTGAAAAGGAGTGGGCTCAATACTGACCCTTGCGGTAACCCATTCCATAATAATCTAGACTTTGTAGAATCGCCACATACAACGTTAATACTACGTCCTACTAAAATATTTATAATGAAATTTATTAAAATACCAGGAATATTTAATTTTATTAGTTTGTCTCTAAGGATTGATAACACTACGTTGTCGTAGGCGGCTGATATATCTAGAAATGCTGCAAGAAGGTGTTCATTATTTGAGAAGGCTAACCTAATGTCGGTAATAAAAATAGCAATACTGTCTGCAGTGCTCCTACCTTTTCTGAAGCCAAATTGAAAATTACTCAGTAGACCTTTGCTTTCTACAAACCATTCAAGTCTATTTTTAATAAGGTGCTCAGCTAATTTTAAAAGAACAGAAGATAATGCTATTGGACGATAAGATTCGGCGTTGGATGGACATTTATTTGGTTTTAAGATCGGAATTATTTCTTGAACTTTCCAATGAGGAGGAATACTTCCGGAATTCATTATAAAATTAATAAGGGATAAATAGTAAGATAAAGTTGAATCATTTAAATTAACCAGAAAAGAATAAGGAATTC